CGTACTGTGCGTTCATTAGCCACATCTTCACCAAACACTTTGTTGATATTTCGAGTTGTCTGCGCTGCATTGGTGCCATTACGGAACTCATATTCGAAAATAACACGAATTTTTGGCTTATCCATGGTTACACAAAAATTGCTAACAAAGACAATTCGAAAGATAATCACAAACCAAAACATGCCTTTGAAAGAGTGATAATGTACCTTCACAACAAAAAAACCAGAAACTGTAAAACTTACATGTCAGAGATATCGGCTGTCGAACTCAATAATCAGTCGCAGACATTTCATATTTAGCGACTGAATATATTATTGTTAAAAATCTCTACCTTATTTATGTGTTATATAGTGTTATATATTATTGACCAAATTGATATTATTGATATTATTGATACATATTGTTGACCAAAATAGCCCCATTTATTATTCAGACCTTGAAGAGATAAAAGGAAACGCGATAAATTACCTTTTCTGCGTTTCACTTGAAAGCACCACTGCCGACTCGTAATTCGCGGTGGGGCTGATTTTTCAAAGCAAGCTCCTTAACCCTACGAGACTCTCAGCGGCGTGTTTTTCCTCCCCTCCCCTTGCTCTCGTGCTTCCGTCTTCTGCGAGAATAAAGCGGCGGGTAAAAGCACGTGCTAGTCCTTCGAGAGAGGCTGAAGGAGCGAGACGACAGTTTAGAAAAATGCACGAAGAGAGAAGCTAAGAGCATTCTTTGCCCGTGTTCCTCCGTTTCCTCTTTTAGAAGGCGAAGCCGAGGACTCCCCATGGGATTCCCCTATCCTTCGACGGATATATGTCCTCGAGAGCGACGATAAAGAGCCGCCGATCTCTCCCGATACGGCGATCGTGCGGACGTGCTTCTGCGACGCTGCCGATGACAACGACGACGACGATGCTCCGAGTCGCCGAGTCGTGGTCGCAATAACGTCGGCCAGGACCGGCCTGCGGTCCTGCGCGGCGCGCGTTATTTGCCTCACCAAGCCTTTACCGTTCGGCGCTCGTCAGCGAGATTCGCAGACTTTTCTCCGAATAAAATTACACACAGGCCGTCTGTAAGCGCGCCACGTCTAACGGTGCATACGCGCGCAACGGATGTCGTGTCACCTTGCGGTGCTCGAAGCGCGTGCAGGCCGCAAATCTGCAGCGCGATTCCGCATTTCCACTTCCACTTCCAGCGCCGTGGGTACCAAAGTCGCGCTCGAGCATTGTGTCTTTCGCCAGACCCGCGGGTTGCCGTACGCGCGCAAGGTAGGACCCTAGTAGCACACTTCATTGGCGTTATATTGGCGTTACATTGGCCACGGTGACATAAATTGGGGTTACATTGGTCCAATGTATCTCAATATACAGCCAACATTAGTTAGACATCAAATTACAATATATCGCCAATATTGCATAGCATTGTTATACCAATATTGACTTACATTGGGGTTACAGTGGCCCAATGTATCCCAATATGCAGCCAATATTGGTCAGATATCAAATTACAAGATATCGCCAATATTGCATAGCATTGTTATACCAGTGTTGACTTACATTGGGGTTACATTGGCCCAATGTATCCCAATATGCAGCCAATATTGGTTAGACATCAAATTACAAGATATCGCCAACATTGCATAGCATTGTTATACCAGTGTTGACATACGTTGGGATTACATTGGCCAATATTGGGGGCCCAAATTGTAGTCAATATTGGCCTAACAATATGTACTATTAGGGGAGGAGCAACGCCGTCGCACTGTGGGACGTTTGGCCTGAAAAGCTAGCCAAAAGCCAATTTTCTTAAAGTCATTTCTGCTTTACATGAGTGACTATCCTAGACAGTTGAATATCTGTAGAATAATGGGCCGCTATGCTTTTGTTCGTCCGCGATAACATGAAGTGGTTTGGTTAGTCGGAATTTAGACGTTATTCGTATTGTACGCATCAATTCTCAGCGCTTTATAACATACGATCTTCGATCAGAATTTTAAGGTGGCTTAAAAGTGGCAGCGCGAAATTTTTCGTTATTGATTGTTTCGAGGAAGATATGAAGAAACGTTTTAGATCATATTTATTACAATTGAATTGTTATTCACGTAGATGTACGATTTTGAAAATAATATTCAATAATGTATCTTTTCGCGTTCTCGATATCAAACTCGAAGGATTTACTTATATTTCAGGATCTATCCCTGTTACGTTTCTTGGATGAAATGAAAGAGTAATCTCTCCGGATAAAATATCAGAAAGAATTAGCCGCGAAAAACCGCGGATATAATTTTAGTAATTACTTTTGTTTCCCTAAACGTAAATTAGTTTTGTCTAAAGGTTATTTAGACATGAAGTTTCCTTTTGTTTCTTTTTGTTTTCTTTTTGTTTCCTTTTGTAATATGGACATAATCAACAGACTTCTACTAAGTTCTAACAAACGTTACTAACAAATATGAGACCCGTACCAAGAAAGAAATCTAAACCATTTTTAAAAGAAAGATTGGATATGCTTCTTCTCACTGGCTTCACGCCAAGAAGAGGAGATATTTCAATAGACGAAACTGATGTTGACTCTGAGGATGGAATACACTCATTAGATGAAGAAATTTGGAGTTTGTCTAGTTGAATACTTATTGATGTGGAATATTATGTTTTCTTAATTATTAAAATATTTTTACATATATATTTACATTTTATTTCATGAAAAGCTTATACGAAATCTTTATAATGATCATATATATAATTAGTAGCACGTTTTAAACCAAAATTCGTCAAAAAATAGTTTTGGCCAATTTTTTGGTACAAACATCCCACTATGCATCGGCGGGAAATCGCGTCACGATTTCGCAATTCCACGACGGACGGCGTCGCCGGTATTTTTCATGCTCCTGCGAGTTACGGCGGAGAATGTATCTCGCAGGAAACGTGACACTCGACGGAACTGCCTCGAGGTCACCGAGGAAAATTCCTCGGCGACCGCTTCGCCGAAGGATCCGCCGGCGGAAGGAAACGCGATGAACCTAACGATCTTGCAATGCAAAAGAATGAGATGGTTAATTCGCCCGACGCCGACGATGCTGCTCTTTGTCCGTTCGCCGGGCTCGTGGACGCGCGCAAAAGTGCACAAGCATTGTTTGCAGATCGTGGGAAACCGGGAAGCGATTACATACCGAAAGATAGAGTTAGAGAGAGAGAGAGAGAGAGAGAGTGGGGGGGAAGGGGGGCCGAGTAAACTGCGTGCTCGCTAGGCACCCACCCGGCGGAGAATGTGTGTTCAGAACGTGGAAGAGTAACTCGCGGAAGCAGTTCCTGGAAGGTCACGAGAATGCGCGAGCGAGGCGCGTCGTTGCACACGAGCGTCGCGTCCTCAACCTTTTGACGTGCGGCGTATGTGGGTTACGCGAGTGATAAGCGACGGGAGAGAAAAGCAGCCGCGAGTCGTGGTGGGACTTGACGAGCGAGCGAATAGATAGAAAACAAAAAAAAGGGATTCGCTGCAGAAGCGGAGCGATCGATATTTCCCTCTCGCTCGTTCCAGCTCGAGTTGCCGCCGAATCGCATAATTACTCGGGACTTCGTTAGCTCGACTCGAAAGCCCGCGGCGCATCTCTCTCCTCTTGAGGTCCCGGAAGTATTATTGGGTTGTCGGAAAAGTCATGACGTACTCTTTCTATGTTTTTCAAAGGTCATTTATTTACGTAAAGAACAAAGACCAATCAGTAATATATTGCCCGTTTTGTTCGATGACCTTTTGCCATCTTTCAGTGAGCTTCATAAGTCTTCGTTCATAGAAGAATCTGTCTTTATCGGCGAAAAACTGAACAAGGTGCTGATTTACAGTCTCATCTGAATTTAACGTTATAACGTTATATAACGTAAAGAGTTTTGAAGAGAGCGAAACAAGTGGAAGTCTAACGGCGCAAAGTCAGGCGAATATGGTGGGTGTGGCAACACAACCCGTCCAAGCTCCAATAATTTTTGACGGGTGATTAAACTTGTGTGTGGTCTCGCGTTGTCGTGATGAAACACAACTCCTTTACGATTAATGAGCTCTGGACGTTTCTGGATGATGGATTCGTTCAAACTGTCCAATTGCCGACGGTACACATTCGAATTGATTGGTTCCTTGGTAGGAGCTCGAAAAACACGATACCTTTAAAATCCTGACCACACTGAGAGCATCACCTTCCTCTGATGAATGTCTGCTTTCGATGTTGTTTGAGGCGAATTATCACCTCGGGACCAAGACCGTTTGCGCTCCACATTGTTGTAAACAATCCACTTCTCATCACCAGTTATCATTCGCTTCAAAAAAGGATTGTTCTTCTCACGTTTAATGAGTATATCGCAGATGTTTATACGCGCCGTCAAATGAACTTCTGTGAGTTCATGAAGAACCCAAATATCGAGCTTGCTTACGTATTCCAGCTTCTTCAGGCGGTCATGAACGCTTGAATGATGCATGTTTAATGTTTCTGCAATCTCTCGTGTCGTGTAACGAGTTGGATTCGATCAATGCCTTTATTTTATCGTCATCAACCTCGGTGAGCCTCCCTGACCGAGGAGCGTCGTTGAGATCAAAATCAACAGCACGGAATTTCGTGAACCATCGTTGGCACTGACGTTCTTGTATGAGCATTGTCACCGTAAACTTTACGCAACTTTTCACAAGTTTGACGCACGTTCTTCCCTTTATGGAAGTAAAACAGTAAAATATGGCGATAATGCAGTTTGGTCTTCCACCTTCAACTTGTTGTAAAATTTCCAAAACTCAACCAAATCGCTCAATTATTCTTTAGAATGAAACTAGAACTCAGCTTTCAAATGACATAGCAATAACATAGATGCGAATGACTCTAGTACTGCCAAAAATGAACTTAGCGCCATCTGTAGTAAAGGTGCGTCATGACTTTTCCGACAACCCATAGCTACGCCACTGGCTGACTCGCGCGCAACTGGGTCACCCGGTGGGGGGGGGGAGGGAGAGGGCACAATTCATCCTCAACCTTCTTGCAGAGACCGGCTTCACCCTCGCCCGCTACGACGAACGTGAAGCTCGGCGACGTGTGTAAGCGGGATCGAGACTGCGAGGTCGGCATCGCTAATAGCCACTGCCACTTGGGTTATTGCCGGTGTCAGCCGTTCTTCGCCGGCTACAATGGAACGCATTGTCTGGAGTGTAAGTCCGACGGAGCAGCCTCTCGTCCGCCTGAAAACCGCGCTGTTCTCGTCCCCTAAATAGATAGATACTCTTGCAGCACGTGCGCTTTGTAGCGAGCAGAGACTCGTCGGGGGTGGGTCGTCCTGACAAAAATTGACTAAACGAGCTGTAATTTGGTGCGGTTAACCCTGGATCGTCAGTGTCCATTGCGCCCTCGACTGGAGTTTCTCGGCTCCTTTCTTCGACAGTTTCAACAATTTGCAAACACTCATCTACTTCTCGTTCCTTCTCAGGGCTCTTCCGAAGAGAGCGAAGAGAAATTTTATTTACCGTCTTTTTTTTTTTAACGAATCCTTTCACTTCATTGATATCGCGACGACAAACCGGGATGAGATACAAAGAAATCGTTTTCTTACACGTTTCTGGGCGCGACGACAGGTTCTATGACAGTGGGCCGGCGGGAAAATCGCTCACTGAAAATCACTTAACATTTCAGCGACTCTGCTGGGCTACGATTGCCTCGTGAGAGAACAGTGCTCGCTGAAAGTGGCGAACAGTAGCTGCCTCGACGGCGTGTGCAGGTGCGAAGAGGGACACTTGCAATTCCGCAGGCACACTTGTCTCGGACGTAAGTCGGCATTATTAATCATCGTCGCTGTTCCGGTTTAGTAATTAATAACCGTTGAATCGATCGTTATTAATTAAGCGAATTCCTCCGCGCGCGCGCTACCGACGAGGCGTGCTCTCGCGTGGCCTTAATTCCGACGACCGGTGATGAATTAGAAATTGGCTAATTAACGTTACCTCATCGAGATCGTTATTGGCCTCATAACTTTCCCGCGAACGAGCGACCGGAAAGAAATCCGAGCGGAGTCTGCTCGGACGATCGCCGACGATCGCAGCGATTAACAAATTAACATCCAGAAAAAAAGTAATTTTAGAACGAGCGGAGTCATTTAAATTTTAGAGGATTTTATTCTTATATATGGCCTCAAGAGGAAAATATTATAAACATATTATTCTTAAAATTAGAAGGACCATATTTGATAAACTATATTTGACCAAATACTGGTTATTTTTTCGTTTATGTCTGGAGGTAGAGCATGACTGAACAAAAGAAGCCGACATTCAAATCAACATACTCCTCTTCATATAAGAGGAAAATTAATTGATACAAGAAGAAATCTTCTTGAAATAAGAAGAAAATATTGGGTTGGCAACTAAGTAATTGCAGATTTCACTGATAGATGGCGTTGAATTTTTAGGCATATTTACGTATTCGAAGTGTTAAACCTATATTGTTGTTTGATAATTGGTACTTCAATTGGCATTCAGTAAAGAAATTGTATCGATCGGTTGTGTAGTTTTTGTTTGGCGTCGGTTGACAAATGGAAAAGCAAAACGAGTATTTTCATTATATTTTGTTTTTTTTACTTCCGTAAAGGAAAAAACGCATCGCAAGTTCATAAAAAGTTATGTTCTATGTATGGACGAAACCTTAAAAGAACGGCAGTGTCAAAATTGGTTTGCTAAATTTCGGTCTAGTGATTTTTTACTCAAAGGTGAACAACGTTCTGATCGTCCAGGTGAAGTTGATGACGACCAAATCAAAGCAATAATCGATGCGGATCGTCATAGCACAACACGTGAGATTGCAGAGAAGCTCAATGTATCACACACATGCATTGAAAAGCGTTTAAAAGAATTTGGCTACGTAAAAATTCTCGATTTATGGGTTCCTCATGAACTTGAAGAAATTCACTTAACACAACGCATTGCTATCTGCGATTTGCTTATGAAACGAAAATGATCCATTTTTGAAACGATTGATAACTGGCGATGAAAAATGGGTTGTTTACAACAATGTCAATTGAAAAAAATCGTGGAGCAAGCAAGATGAACCAGCGCAAACAACATCCAAAGCTGATATTCATCAAAAGAAAGTTATGTTATCAGTTTGGTGGGATTACAAAGGAATTGTCTACTTTGAAATTTTACTACGCAACCAAACGATCAATTCAAATGTATATATTCAACAACTAGCCAAACTGAACAATGCAATTTAAGAAAAGCGACCAGAATTGGCAAATCGAAAAGGTATTGTGTTCCATCATGACGATGCAAGATCACACACATCTTGGTCACTCGGCAAAAATTATTAGAGCTTGGTTGGGATGTTTTGCCACATACAGTCCTGACCTTGCATCATCAGAGTATTATTTATTTTGTTCTTTGCAAAACTTCTTGAATTGTAAAAATTTCAACAATGATGACGATGTCAAATCGCACATGGTTCAGTTTTTTGCCGATAAAAACCAAACGTTTTATGAACGTGGAATTATGATGCAGTCTGGAAGATGGCAAAAGGTCATTGATAAAGATAGACAATATATTGCTACATAAAGTTATTTCGTTTCATGAAAAAATTGTCTTTTATTTTCTTAAATCTGCAAAAAGTCCGCAATTACTTAGTTGCCAAACCAATAGTTACAATAATATCTAATAAATCTTAGATGAATGGTTCACTTTATTCGCTCTATCGGACGGGGAATCCTTTTTCTGTAATAGGCTTCGCTTAGAATATGAGACTATGAGAAAAATCACTTTACAAATAAAATACTTTTTTTGGGTGAACTGCGCCGGATCCGATCTTTCTCATCATTGGTCCAGTGACTCCTTAGTGGAGGGTCTGCGAAAAATCCGGAAGAATTGGAGACATCATCGGCAATCGGCGTTCTAACGCGTCGCGATAGATCGATATGCGCCGTAATGAGCTGCCCACTCGCGTTGCTCGGGGATGCTGCACGTGTGTGGAGGAGTTACCTTCGCGTGACATTAAGACCGTCATTAACCGCGCGGAACAACGCATGTCGGTGAAAGGATCGACGATGAATAGCCACGACGAAGCGCGGTTAGAGTATCCTGCGGAGGAAATTCTAATTTATGCGATCTCCTCGACTACACGATGCGCATACACCGCGAAGAAGCGTCTTGAAAATGTATTCCCTGCGGAATATCGTCTTCACTCCACTGCGAATGATTCATCGTGATTCGTTTGCGATCGCTTACGTGACGCTCATTGCGGCGTTCTCGACGTTACGGGACATCGAGGCACGCTAATCATCCGATTTCTCGTTATCCTCGTCGGTATTCATTCCACGTAAAGTGTTTTATTTGCGCAGCAAAGAAACACGCGGTTTGTTGTTTACTAAAATTACTATTTTAACTCTTGCGATCCGAAACTATTACAGTGACGGGGGTTTCGTCTTTTTTCCTAATCTATTAGGAGGTTCAATTAATTCTAGTCGTAAATAGTTATTTTGTCAACTTTTTTATCTTTATTTTAAAGAAATGCTTAAATTTATATCGATCAGAATATTTTCCGTCGTTAGCTGTGACTTTTTCCATCTTTCTGGCAATATAGCGATTCCGCGACGAAAGAACGATCTGTCTTTCGAAGCAATCTAATCAGACACCCATTTTTGCACATGCTCGTAATTATTGAAGTGTGTATCTGCCAAAGCGTGTTGCATCGATCGGAATAGATAGTATCAGATGATATTACGTCTGGAGAGTACACTGGGTGCGAAAAAATTTCCCATTCAGCTCTAACAATGTTTGTTTAACGATTGGAGCAACATGAGGATGAGCATCATCGTGCAAAAGAATCACTTCGTGTCTATTTCTGGCTATCACTGGCCCTTCTTGCATCAATTCATCGTTCAATTTGTTCAATTGTTGCTGGTATCGCTCTCCCTGTAACTGTTTCATTCGGTTTTAGAAGCTCATAGTACACTACACTTTCCACATCCCACCAAATACAGAGCATTGCTTTGTGATCGTGAATGTTCCGTTTTGGTGTCGATGTCGATGGTTATCCTCTCGGAATCAACTCGTAATTTTTTCACTTTGAATTATCAAAATAAATCCACTTTTCATCTCCAGTTACAATTCATCACAAAAGATTTTTTGTCTGGTAAGCAAAGACATAACGATATTCAAACGATTTGCAATGGCACTTTCACTCAATTTAGTATGTGGAACCCAGTTGCCTTCCTTTTGGATTTTTCCCATGGTGTGTAAGCGTTTAGAAATTGTTGATTTATCGACGTTGAGTTGTTCAGTCAATTGTTTTTCCATTTGGGTGATGTTTTCATTCAATAATGCTTGCAATTCAGAATCTTTGAATTTTTTGATTGACCAGTACGTTCTTTGTCACTCAAATCGAAACCACCACTTTTGAATCATTGAAACCAAAATTTACAATTGGAATACGATGAAGCTTAATCACCATAAGTTGTAACAAACATTTCATGAGCTTCAGTTGCCGATTTTTTCAAATCAAAAAAAGTAATAAATGTCGAAAGTACAATTTTGTACGATCCATTTTAGACGCGTATAAACAATGAAACTGTCAGTAACAATAGCGCGCAAACTGTTATATGTCATAGAGAAATGTCAAATCTCTCAGTGTTGCCAGATTTCAACATTCGTACTACCATTAACTTGTTACTAAAGCCATCTATTGCTAAGGACTATTGCTAGTTATTAAAGCCATCTATTGCTCGGAACTAATTTAACCTCCTAATACACTCTTTGACGTGCATAAAGAGAATTCTAGTTTGAAAAATAAAGTAAACTTGGATGATTGGCTATGATATATTAGGTTGTTGCAGATGAAATGGCCATTTTTGAATTTTGAATTTCAACTTTTATTCGACACATTTTATATACAGAGTGAGGAAAAAATATGGAAACCCTTAAAAATCTCGAAAGATATAAGTTTTACAGAAAAGTGTTACGGACAAAAGTTATAAAACTCAAAACAATGTATTTACTGATCTTATCAGTTTGACCTTAAATAGCGTTACCAAGGTCAGGTCAAGATCAAATTATCTTTTTTTTTAATAGAAACTGTCATTTTCTAGTCTATCATCTTTTTCTACCAATTAATTTGAATAACTTTTGTCTGAAATATTTTTTTATTTACCTAATATTTTTGTTTAGATATCTAAGGAAAACTTGATGACTTTTCCAATACTTAACTTACGATATCTCGCTATTTATCAGAAGAAAAAATGATACTAGACTTTTTTACTCTATTTGGTCTCAAGAACATATTGTTACAATAGTTCTCTAACTTTTGTTAATTTATTGATTTTTGGAAATTTCAAAATCATCAAATTAACAAAAATCAGGGTGCTATTGTAACAATATATTCTTGAGACCAAGTAGAGTAAAAAAGTCTAATAGCATTTTTTCTCCCGACAAATAGTTGGCGAGCTAAATATCTCAAAAAATATTAGGTGAATAAAAAAATGTTTAGACAAAAGTTGTTCAAATTAATTGGTATAAAAAGATGATGTGATAAAAAATTGGGGTTTGTGTTTAAAAAAATAAATTGACCTTAACCTGACCTTGGCAACGCCACTCAAGATCAAACTGATAAAATCAGTAAATACGTCGTCTTGAGCGTTATAATTTTTGGCTGAAACACTTTTCTGTAAAACTTATATCTTTCGAGATTTTTAAGGGTTTCCATCTTTTTTCTTCACCATGTACATTTTGTCAATCGAAATAGTCTCTATCCATCTCAATACAACTCTCCCAACGTGATATTTAAGCGCATCAATGCCATTCACGTAAAAATCGGAAGAGCGAGATGCAAGAAATTCGTCGAATGCACTTTTCACGTTACTTTCGTGACATATGGTATATGATATAACATTCAAAAGGTTTTAGCCGTCATTCATTGTTTCTTAAAAAATTATTAACGAAAGAACTTTTATAAATAGAGCCTATTTTTAAAGAATTTTTAAAGAATTTTTGAAGAATCATAAAGAAAATGTTTAATAACTCAATATAAGCGAGAGAAGGAACTTTGTCCCTCTTTGTATATCCCTCCTCGTAAAAAACCTAACCTAACTTAATTTAATCTTAAAACTCACAACGTCCAGTTATATGCAAAAATGTATAAGTTTGATTAGATTATGTTAAACTAGGCTTTTTTCAAGGTGGGATTACAGAAGAAGGGACCTGCCCCTCCTCCACTTATATGTACAATACTATTTAAAATATAGACTGTGTCGGAAAAATAGGCTCCATTTATGAAACTGTTTTGTTCATAACTTTTTAATAAACAATGAGCGACGGTTGAGACAGAGCTTCTGAAAGTTATTCAAAAGAGTAACTCTTATAAGTCAAAGTCAAAGTCATAGGAAGTGGGTATCCCCTAACATAAAGTTTTATCTAATCTTTGAAAATGACTACAAAAAACGCAACAATTTTTTGGCAAATATTGAAGAAATTACAACTTATGGCCATGTGTTACGTCCTGGAGAAGGAACGCAACTTGACGCTTGCTTTCACAAGCTCCGACGTACTCGCAAGTTTGCGGTGCAGATCAAGAATCGGAATGACCCCTTTATCTGGCGCGGACGTACGTCGGTGGTCCTTTATTTAGGTCAAGGAATTGAATCCTTTTACCTGAGATAGGACCATGAGCGACAGTTGAGGGAAGAGAGAATTTTTTGTTGAGAATAATTAGTTGGAAAACGTGATTGGCTTACAATTACAAAAAACTTGTTTTATTGATGATTAGACGGAAGTTCACAATGAAATAAAATTTGTAAGATTTTATAATGTGTACGTATACATATATGTATAAACAATCACGGTTTGAGCAAAATTCCGTGTTCGTTATATCCGACTGTGATTGAAAAGATTGGGCCACTGACACCGAATTTCACAATTAAGGAGGAATGCCAAGGGGAATAGAGAAAAGGAAGAAAAAGGAAAGGAAAAGAAAAGAGAGAGAGAAGAAAAGAAGAAAAATGAAAAGAAAGGGGTCATTCAGGTAAAAGAAAGTATAAATAACTTACTGCTGGATCTATGCTATTTGTCGGAAATGAAGAGTGTAATTGCTGCGTGTCTGTGAGGATGGACCCAAGTTTTGTGCCAAGAATAGGAAGCTGGTTTCCGCTGGATCACGATGGTCCAAAAATGCACGAGATCGTTGCACAGAATAATTAACAACTGAAGAAACACTGATCTGTCTAAGCCACTAGTAGGCTAGATTGTTAGGAGACTCTGAAGGGGTGCTGAAGAGAAGCTTCTGTCCTGGCTGCGGATCGGTCGAGAAGTGTCTTGGCCTTTTGGCTTGGCTTGACTTTTCTCAAAACGTCAGCTCGGTTGAGAGAGTGGAGAGAGTGGTTTTAAGAAATTGTTTCGGAAATCTAATTTTCATGCCCAAATATGGTCATAGGAGTGTGCTTCGAATGTTTTTTAGAGGTGGGGGTTAAGAATACGTTGCAGTGTCTTTAAGATAATTTTGTAGGAGATAGGATGCATATGGCAATAAGAGGATTTCGAGAGTCTTTTGTTTAAGAAAAACGTGGCAGCAATCTTAAGAAGGAAATATCGATATTTCTAAGAAGGATGTCGCGATACTGTTATCGTTGTCTAAGCGCGTGGGAAACAAGATCGGAGTTGGTTCAAGATTGTTAATATTTCCGGACCATCGAAACTTCCAGAGATCGCGTCGTGTGATAACATGCCTGAGCGCATCCGACCATATAATAAGTAATAATAAATTCAATTTTCCTTATTTATAAAAGAAGTCTAGAGTGCGCGGAGTCCGCAGGACGTAACACATGTTTTTCGTACCGTTTACCCCATAAAAGTCGACGCGAAAAGTTAAAGTTATGAAATGATGTATCCTCGAACAACGAAACTTGGGCGTGTTGACATATGCGACGTCGTGCCGTATCGCGCGCAACCAGACGAGGAGACCCGGGAAATGTCGGCGTTGCTCGCGACGATTGAAGTTGACTGGTGGATGCGCGAGTCTGTAAGTCGTAGAACGAATCTAATTTTGCAGCCGCGAAACTCGGCCAGGTATGTTACGAGCACGCTCACTGTCGCCTTTGGGACCCGGAATCGCATTGCGATTTCCTCATTCCGGATTTGTTCGGTCGCTGCCAATGCACCGCGCCAATGCGCCGCGATGGCGACGTATGCCAGCCTGACATTCTGGTGAGGCCAGCGCCGCTTCCGGAGCATCTGCCATCGTTCCAGGTGCCGATCGAGGATGTCACCGAGTACGAGCACGACAAGGAGACCGTAGGCGAAGGACAAAAGACCGAGGCTGAGCAAGACACGGGTATGTGTATAACGTCGGAATTGGATCACTCGGTTACTTACTGCAACTCTGTTAGCCTGACGGCTAAAGTTGCTTCTCCTTTTCGATCGCGCTCGAGCTATTCGCGAAAGTTCATTTCTCAATCCTGTTGTGGTCCTGTTTGCCAATAAAATGACAATAAAGGACTCGGTTCATGAACGTACAGTTTTAGCCAGTTCACTGGTGACCCGAAATTAACGTTTTGTGCCAAAATTGGTGCCAAAGAGAAAATAATTTCGTATTTTTGGGTCGCGATAATGACTCCAGAGTCGAAATTACAAAATTCAAAATTATGGATTTCTTAAATTTGAATCCGGATTCATAGTCAACGACTCAAAAAAACATGCCAAGTTTCCTGCAAATCCGTTGAAAATTGGCAAAGCTATTCATGGCGTTCGTATACGAGTCATTGGTATTTGGCACATCATTTTTCCGCCCATATATGAATTATTAGCGGTAAACTGGTTATAGTTCGAATCACCAAATTGATAAATATATTCGTTCGTCCGTTTGATCAAACACCGCACGATTTTAACCGCTTCGTTGGCACTCACGCACTTTTGTGTCAAAATAAAGACGTGCCATAAATGGCATTGACGCACTAATGCGCACATCGTTTATTTTTTTATTGACTGATCCGATTTTCGTAAAAATTGGTACTCTGAGGTTTCTGGATAAGAATTTGAGGTCAAAATGGCAATTCAAAATGGCAGATCCAAAATGGCGGACCAAAAAAATAAAAATCTATTTATTTATCCTTCTAAAATTATTTTTAAAATTTCATGTACTCTTATAGGATTTTATTTTATAAATATCAGTTTTACGAAATAACTTTTACGAAAATCTTCATAGAATTTACATCTTTATTAAATTTCTAAAAAAAATATAGTCGCTATATTACATATGTACTGTCTTGAATTTTCAAGTTTTAAACTCAGATTCGTTTTTAGCATCTGAAAAACCTATAGATATCGAATTTCACAATAATCACAACAATTTCCTTTTTTTGACTACCATATTGGATCCGCCATTTTGAATCTTGAAATCCATATTCAGCAACTTGGAAAACTTCTACATATCGAATTTCATGAAAAATAAGATACATTTTGTGGCCGCCATTTTGGATTCGCCATTTTGAATGTTCATATTTTGACCTCAAATTCGTACTCAGCCATCGAACATTCTAGTACCGACGTTTACAAAAATCAAGCATGATTTATATGTTGCTATTTTCAGTCAGTTGATGCTATTTCTCAGCGCCAGCTAAGTAGTTAATAGCCCACTCGAAAGTTTAATTAGGCAGAAAAATATGAGCGCACTTTCTCCCAAAGGTGATCATCCTAATATCTTAATATAACGTGAATTGAAATCGACGTGCAAGTAACGCTAAAAGTTCGTAGCAGCTCATGCTAATACATCGGAAGGTCATTTCTCATCAATCAAAGCGGTTTTCGCTATTCATCTATTTGCTTGGTGAGTCGACTCGATTAATTATACATCGATAAGCGGATTCTGCTCGCCGGACGAGGAAGCGAATCTCCGTCTCCGTCGCGAAGAAAACGAGAAGAAAACGCTGCTGAAGCACGTTCACGGGATCAGAGACGCTCCCTAGAGTTCACGCTCTATTGAGTGCGCGAACTTGCGTACGGATAAATGAGCAAACATGAGGTACCTGACTTCTCCATAAGCCACTTAGCATTCCCCTGGTGTAACCTTCGGTCGCGTACGTTATATGGGAATCGCATCGGGCCGCATCATTGCTCTCCCTGTGTTCGCGCGCCTTTTATCCGGTAATCAGCTTTTCCGTGTGCGCAAGACGCAGCGGGAGTCCCGAGGCGAGAAGCGGTTTCGTATTCCGGCCCGAAAGCGCCTGAACGGATTAACGAGATAGGCTGATTCGCATTCTTAATTAGCGCGATCATTAGTGGAACATAACGAGTGGCATTTCCCTGCGAACGCACGAAGAAAACTTTCTGCTGCGCGAGGGTGATGTGTGTGTGTGTGTGTGTGTGTGTGCATGCGCGCGCATGCATGTCACAATCGCACACACGAGACTTCATTATCTTTCAAGTTCCTTTACTTTCGCCGCTTTTAAGAACTCGTTTATGCGACAACTGCCTCACGAATGCCACATGAACTCATTAGCTCAGCTAATAAACAACAGTTTTCTATGACGATTACGAGCTCTCCTTGCATGTTACTATGGTGATTCATGAATCGCAAGAGGTACTTTCCTAATGCTGTTCTCGGACAGGTGTCCAATTGTCCTGGCTGAAGAATGCAACGATGCTGCTATCGACGGAAGCGCCCAGTCAGCTGATACCAGTAAACCTGGTGACCAGACCGTCGTTGAACCTGAGACCCGGATCCAACGATCGTCCCGGACCAAACGAGCTGCCCGACGACGACGATGCCATCGTCATCGAGGCGGAGATCACCGAGCCTGCTTACGTGACATCCACTTCGACGTCCGGTAAGTCGTAAGAACCTTTCGAATAATGTCCAACGTGTGACATAATTGAGAGAAACCGAAGATCTCGGCATTAAAGCCCTGGATTAACCCTTTGAAGCACGAATTTTTCTATGCAATAATAAAAGAAACTGATTATGTATATAGGGGTTTTCTGGGTCGCTGATTATGAATCTGGAGTCAAAATTTTAAAATTCAAAATGGCGTATTTAATGTGGCGACTTCAAATGACTAACTTTGATGTGATATTATGGATATATATCAATCTCGGTATATATATGTTTTATTCGATCGTGGATGACAAATAGAGAGTCAAAATTAAAAAATTAAAAATGGCGGATCTAATATGGCGACTTCAAATGGTTAACTTTGATATGATGATATTATGGATTTTAATTTCGGAAATCTGATAAATTCGTGATTAGCGACCCAGAAAACCTCTATGTACCTATTTCTATCAAAATCGAAGGATTTTGAACATTTTTATCCACCATATTGCATCCGCCATTTTGAATTTCGAAATTCTGACCCCGAATTCGAAATCGGCGACCTCAGAAACGTAAAATAAACAAGTTTCGTTACGACTGTTTTTATCACCCCGTTAAATGAATTTTTAATAAAAAATATATAATTTTATGCAATTTGTTTGTATTTACAGGATGCTTAAATTAAAAAAAAAATAACATTTTACATTTTAAGTACATATATCAATATCTAATATATCTTAGAAGTGATAAAAATTCAGACGAAAATATCAAATAGATAGCTTAAATAATTAAAAATGAAGAGAGAAAAGGTGAGATTGTAGGATCCTACAATGCTTCAAAGGGTTAAGAAAGAAGCGCAAACGTTACCTCCTCCATGCTTCTCATGGTCGCCTTGGTTGGGCCCACAGCTGTCCATTTGTAAACAAAGCAACCTGCATATCCGATGCAATTGAAAGTCACTCAGAAATGTTCTTATTTTAATTCCAATATTGTAATTAACGTTAAGTAAGAGATTCTTCAAATTATGGAATATCATATCGAGTTGAGAAGACCACCTTGGCACCAACGTGACATCAACGTTATTTCGTTAAAGTAAGGTTATTATCATAGTATGATTTTTTATTTGCCTGATGGATGTCTAAAATGTTTTTTGTTTTATAAGGAAATAACGTTACAAATATATTATTTTGTCACTTACGATATATCAGTTGAGATTTGGTTCCATACAAGATTCATCACGGGACCAATATGGCGGTCGGCCAATCGGCAAGCGAGACATCGCTTATGCTTCTTTCTTAATTTAGAGCTTTACTCGGCACTAAGAAGAAATAAAAATTGAATTAAGAAGAAAAAGTAAGACGAAGAAATAAATTCGCGGGTCAAAATCTCGACGAGAGAACGACGTTCCTGATGTCTCAGTTTCTACCTGCGGAAGTCATTCGGCGAGCATGACCTTTATGTTCCAGCTCCGATCAAGACGGATCGGCACGAGAGCACGATCATGACGGCAGTCAGCCTCGGCTTGGCCTGCATCGCCGACCTGGAGTGCCGAATGGCGGACCCGCTGTCACGCTGCATCGGCGGCGTCTGCGACTGCAGCCTGCCGACCAACGAAAGTTGCAGCGCGCGCAGGACCGGCTGCGCGCCCGGCACGTTCCAGTGCCGATCGTCCGGGAGCTGCATCAGCTGGTTCTTCGTCTGCGACGGGCGTGCCGACTGCGCCGACGGTTCCGACGAGGAGTGCACCGGCGCGATTTGCCCGGCGCAGGCCTTCAGCTGCAACGACAGCAACATCTGCATCTCGAGGGCAGGGGTCTGCGACGGCAATCGCGATTGTCCACGCGGCGAGGACGAAATCGGCTGCAACAACCGACGAAGTTGGTATCCGCATCGTGAAAACACACCCACGGCATTCGTCCTTCTTTCATGATCACTCGCATCGACGCGATTAATCTCTCTCTTCTCGCAAAACGAGAACGCGGCGTTAGCAGTTTTGTGATCTTAGGGTCGCGAATGGAGCAACATCGACTCGATATGTTTTAGACTTGCCATATTTTTTGAAATTTGCCAGGAAAATTTAGGAGGATTTGATAGAAAAAAAAAATATGTCCAATTTCCAATCAAGTTAACATCATTCGAATCGAAGGACCAATATACTCGAAGCTCTTACGATTAGAATCCTCCGCGTTCCTTCGAGACTGTCGAATGTTTCGCTTGATCAACACGTGCTCCTGGCATGTCGCCTGAATTTCCATGTGCCTCTTCACGACTCGTTTGCGCAGAATGTCCCGAGGGTGCGTTCAGATGCAACAACGGCCAGTGCCTGCCGGCTTACGAGTTCTGCAACGCGGTGGTGTCCTGCAGAGATGGCAGCGACGAGCCCAGGGGAGCGTGCAGGACGCGCAATCGCGGCAGGATCACCCCGAGATTCTGTCCGTTCAGGTGCGACAACGGCAGGTGTCGTTCCGACGCGATAACCTGCAGCGGCCGAGACGGGTGTGGCGACGGCTCCGACGAGAAACACTGCAGCGTCTGCAGTAAGTACATTTCCTTTTCCTTCGAGACGCGTGGAAGAAATGCGTCGTAAGAACACCTCGTCGCGTTATATCTTTAATTAGAAAATTATCTCGTCCGCGAAGAAAGCTAGAGGAACGCAATTTTTCCAATTTTCCGTCTGGAGGGATTTAACGGTACACCTTTTCCCCCGAGATTTTTATTCGTGTCTCGCTTGTGCAGCTATTTTGACGTGAAACTAATAGCAGCATCGCGGATTAAGAGGTTATATGCAGTCAGGAGACCAAAAAGAGTGGGATTTTGGATGGTTTTCTTTTAACTGAGGTTTTTATTTTATACAAATATATACATTTGAAAAAATAACACTTTAAGAATGTCTAAACATTTTTTTGAATCAAAATTTTAATTTATAAGCGCGTAGTAGCCAATCTCCGCCCCTCAGGTGCCTTTTAAAAAAATGTAATATGCGGTGAGCAACGTAACTGAAAGCCTAATCATCCGAAATCAAAAAATCAAACAGATTTCACTAGTATATGATAATAGCTAGTGATCAATCGTTCGGTTTTGCAAATTATTGTTTTGCAAAATTTGCAACAATATGGTGGCTCTTTAAAATTAATGTTTTGACTTTTACCAAAAATATTGCTTATTTTTTGGTCGTAAAATAGACAATATTTACCAGAAATATAAATTCATCGATCAACTACGGGATGTTTATATTTAAAATAAGTACGTAAAATTTCAAAGTGATCGGTGCTGCAGTTTTTAAGAGATATCTTGCTCACCAACTTTAAAATGTCATTTTGAGAAAACCGCGTTTAAAGTTTTAATAGTGAATAACATGTATTAATTTTTTTCTTAACTTACACAGTATCGTCTATTGCAGGCCCATACACTTTAAAATAAAAAAGTAAAATAAGTGGGGATTCCCCAGGTAGTTATAATAGAGGGGGAGGCGGAGCAGATGTTTCTCCGAGCGCTCGGAGGAACGCATGCATAGCAGCCTATATCTCGGCGAATTTTACTCGAATGAACTTGAAATTTTTACAGAATATTCTTGAAATAATATATTTTTAGAAAAAAATATTTTTGAAAAACCGATATTTTCGACGTCACTGACTGTATGTAAAACCCCTTAAAAGGCTACAAGTGGCACTTGTGAGAGACAAGTATGCGCGAAAAGTTCCGCGTGCCACGGCGAAATAAACAAATGAAATGCCACTTGTGAGAACACGGCCTTCTCCGCGGACGGGATTTTTATTCACGGGCAATTACGAGTTTGTTTACGTTGAATAAACAACGACGTGCGGCGGCAACATACTCGCGCGAGCCGACGCACCCATCTCGTGGGGGCGTCGTTTAGATCCGCGCGCGCTTCGCTTCCTTGAAGTTAACGCGAGGCGGAGTTACGCTCGCGTGTAATTAGAGCGGGATGCATCGATTACGCGCTATCTTCCGCAATAATCTACACGCATCCGGAAGAATAGTGCGAAATTACATAAATGAATTAGTCATAAACAAGCGCGTATAGCCCGAGACGGAAATAATTCAGGCGCGATCCGGAGGCATCGTCCGTGCAGGCCGGCCTCGCGCGGTTTATTTCGCGCGACCGAGATACAGTGACCATTGCATTCCAGTGCGCCGGCGGAACAATAGCGGAATAATGCGGGATACTCGCGGGGACGTTCTCAAAGGGGCGATGCGCGCGCGCGTGCGGAGAGTGCTCGAGTCTCTTGGTTTTACGTTGGACGTGGAAAAAGGCTTGAAACGCCGGAGAGACAGACCTAAATGTCTTATCGGTGAAAAAGTTTGGTTCCATTTCCGAGCGGAGTGAAATCTCGGTCGTTTTCCGCCGACATTCGAGACGCGGCATTTGTCCGCCTTTTTCTTAAGAGAGAAACGCGGCCGAGGAAAGCGGAAAATCGAATTGGACTTTTTCACCGAGCCGACCGTCGCATCGAGACGGATGAACTTGCGCGTGAATTAACCCTTTCAGTTACAGTTTCTTCTACCTGACGGATTTCTTGCAGGTGAAATCTCGCATTCACTATGCTTTTTGGCTCGCTGATTACAAATTTAATTCACCCAAAAAAGAGTGATTTCAGAATTAGCGGAATCGTCTAAATTTTAGAGAATTTTATTCTCATATGTGTGGCCTCAAGAGGATTCCTCTAAAATTAAGAGGAAAATATTATAAACACAACTTCAAAGTTAGAGGAATTATATGTTATATGTATAATGCAAATCTTATTGATTTTAATATAAATTTTCTCTTACACACAGATTATTTAATATTTCCTTTAAGAGGATTATTATTTATTCTTACTGTAGTTCATTTTTACTGATTATATGTTCTTTTATAGGGAAAGGAAAGAAAAGTATTATGAAATTGTCCGGAAAAAATTCTAGTTAATTTTTTTATTTTCAGTTAGAAAAGTAGGAAAAAACATAAATTTGTAATTTTAAGTTTATTTCTAAATGGCAACGCGTTAAAGTAGTGTGCAACGCGATACGATAAATGGATATACACAGGATGTCTCATTTTAAAGTTTTCACTAAAATATCTCTTTCAAAATCATTAAATTAACAAAACTTAGGTCGGTTAAATTTCCAAAGGTCGATAAATTAGCAAAAGATAAGGCATTATTGCATCAATATATTCTTGAGACCAAATAGAGTAAAAGAATCCTATACTATTTTTCTCTTTCGACAAACAGTTAGCGAGATATCGTAAGTTAAATATTGAAAAAGTTACCAAGTTATCCTTAAATATCTCAAAAAACATTAGGCAAATAAAAAAATGTTTTAGACAAAAGTTGTTCAAATTAATTGGTAAAAAAATATGATGTAATGAAAATTTGAGGTTCCCATCTAAAAGAAAAGGGATGATTAGTGAATATCTTAAAAGTGGCTGTAAACAAAATGATATCGCTGTCTTATGTTCCTCTTCAAACCAAACAACTTTTGTCCAAAACATTTTTTTCTTAAATGCTTTCCTAAAGTGATATTTTAGTGGAAACTTTAAAATGGGACCCTATATGTGTATTTACGCTGAAATATAAGCCAGTATGTCTTTAAGTTGATTTTCTCCAAAAATTTTTGAACTTCATTCATAATGAGACAATTGGAAAGAACAACACAAATTGAATAACGATCTCTCTTCTTTTTTCTTGCTCTAGACACTGTCTATAAAATAATGTGGCGACGATCGTCATATCCATAGAGAGAATGTCTCTGTGTGAGTAGATGGAAGAGGAAAAACGTTGACAAACATTCCTTTTGATGTAAGAAGAAAATGAATTGATATAAGAGGAAATCCTCTTGCAATAAGAGAAAAACAGTTAGAATAATATCTAATAAATTTTAGATCAGTGGTTTATTTTAATCGCCCTATCGAAAGAGGAATCTTTTTCCTATAAAAGGCTTCGCTTAGAATATGAGACTATGGGAAAAGTTACTTTACAAATTGAATACTTTTTTTTGGGGTGAAAGTCGGATTTCAAAAATTTTAAATGACAAATCCAATATGGCTGCCATATAGAGAGAAATTAATACAAGTCTGAATAAATATTCAATATATAATTCAGATCAACACGATATAAAGGTTTCTTTGGTCTTTAATTACGAATTTTTTGTCGGATTTACAAAATTCATTCAAATAATTTATTTAGAAAAAAAATCTAGCTTGCGAAAAATTCTAGGAAAAATATATATCATATTTTGACACGTGAAGAATATTCAGTAAAATTTTCAATCTTCAATCTTAAATATTTTCCACGAAAGCAAATTCTCTTTTAAATCGTCTCTTGTCAGCTTTATTTGTAAAATTATAATTATTGCAATTTATAAATGATTGAAACGAATAATCGGATATAGGAACCATGCAAAGTAAATATTAATATGGTAGAAAAATATAAGACCCTACTCATTTTCATCAAACTGCAAATAGCAAATCGTAACAGAGAAAGAAAAAAAGCTGACAAGATATTAGATTGTGCAAAAATAATTATAATTTTCATCATTTTAAGATTGGCGCCGGTTCTTTTATTTACCGTTATCTTTTCCAGAATTCTATCTTGTAACAATAAACGAACTTCCTACATGGCAGCCATATTGAATCTGTTGTTTTGAATTTTTTAAATCTGACTTTAAATTTGTAATCAGCGAATAAGTAAACTTGTTTCCCGTTGGAATAAGTATATGCAGGCCAATGGTTTTTATTTTGATTAATAAATATAATTTTTAACTGATATGTGCGTCTTTATACTCGATACATAAACACCGCAATTATTTTACCACCAACTTAATATATCTGTCACATAGAGTGTGAACAAACTAACAAAAACGCGAACGAAACGATTATGTTATGTCTCGTCTCCCTTTGAATATATCGATCGCTTGTCCGTCGCTTATCATTCCCTATGTGGGCGCGGCATCCTACATTAACGTCGATAAGCGCCCGTTCATAACAGGATGCCGATTATCGAGCCGGCATGTTGCAGGATGCAGCGGAACGGTCTAATCTCGGCTGGCTGACCTCTGTCGTGTCGTGTCGCACCGTCGGACAAAAGGATGGAAGGAGAGGGCGCGCGCGAGAGGGAGAGAGTGTATGTATGTATGTATGTATGTATGTATATGTGTGTGGAAGGAAGGAAGAGGTCAGACCAAACCGACTCGTCGATGGTTTCGCCAAGTAAGTGCTCGAGCATTGTGGCGGGCACAAAAGTAAGTGTGACCAAAGATCGTTAAGCCGTATCGGCGACTCTGGCTTTCAACGCTCCGCGATCTCGAGACCAAGAGGACCGTTTTTACTCGGCCGGGCTCGAGTCCAGCTTTCAGGACATACTTGCAGCATAAGAGAGAGAGAGAGAGAGAGAGAGAGAGAGAGAGAGAGAGAGAGAGAGAGAGAGAGAGAGAGAGAGAGAGAGAGAGAGACGGAGGGAAACCCTCCGTCTCGCCTCCTGCGTTCAGTCCTCGTTAAGTCGAACCGAGCCAGTGACCGCCGTAGCGAGTCTCGGGAGTGCTCTCGGGAGAAATGATTGCGCTCGTGTAATAATGGGACTTAATCGCGTATAATGATACCGTAAGACGGGGTTAGTTTGCACAGACGGTCGGGTAACTCCGCGCGAGTGGCGAAGAGTGTAGCCGGGGCTAATCTCCTCTCGGGAGCGTCTGTGTCCGAAGCGCGAAATGTTATTCGTTCCTCATATCGGGGTTCCCTTCTTTGTCTTTCACGGGCAAACGCGATTAATGCTGCGTAAACCAGGCTGAAGCGAGAGATAAGACTCGTTGTCGGTGGTATCGATTCTCTCGAGGTCTTAACGAGGACATGGACTTTTAGCGAGTTTCGGGCCGTAAACTCGGTGATGCCAGGCAATTTTCCCCCCTCCCCAAAAAAACCGACGAAAACTCCAAGTTCCGGATATACGTTTTCACGCACCCTGCACTTAGCGCGGAGGACGTAGCATCGCGACCCCTCCCGAAAGCTTTTCGAATAGCGTAACGTCCATTAACACGACCGACACCTTTGCAATTCTAACTGAGAGCCGCCTAACATCGATAACAATCGGAAGATTTCCACGTATAATTTCTAAAATTCAAGTTTTTTTTTTAAACAAGATTAAAAATTTGACGTTCCTTTAGCAAGCGTGGCTTGTGCTTCTTGTGCGATAATAAGGTAAACATATCGAATCACACCACGTTAATTCATTGAGTCACGCAATTAAGTGAGTAGTCGATGATTCTCACAAAAATCATAATTTCATTCGTTTTTAGGGTCGCTGAGTTCGAATCTGCCATCAGAATTTCGAAAAAATACGAACCAAGATGGAGGATGCAATATGGCATTTGAAAGGATATTTAGTTGACGAATCCGTACAAAAATTATTATTCTTCGCATTTTTGGGGTTACTGAGTTCGAATCTGTTATTCGAATTTGGAAAAAATGGAATCCAACATGTCCGACACAATTGTGTGCGAAATAAGCATATATTTCCAAAAAATATGATGCTTACTATATACGGATGATTGTTACTTAAGAACAAATAGAAATACTTATTTCATTGAGAAGATTGAATTCCTAGGTCAATTCTAATAACAAATTCGTGTTTAGCACATCCAAATTTATATAGAAACATGTGTCACTTTCTTTGCAAAGAAAAATCATCATTTGTCGGAATAATAATAAATAAATTATTTATAGCAAAATATTCGACAAATTTTCAAACTATCTGCACATATGTAACGAATTCAAGACTATGAATGTAAAGAGAAAAACGTTGAAAATTATCAAATTCAACGCTATTCCACAATTTTTGTGTTTTTCTTCAATATTTTGTTTATATCATGAAAAATATTAATATAACAAAAATTTATTAACGGATTCGTATAATCAGCGACTTTAAAATGATAAATATAATATAGAAAACTGCTTCTTTGTGGAAAAACAATATTTAGAATATCAACTTTTCAGCGCAATTCTACAAATTTTCGAAATTTAGCTTCAATATTTTGTTTAAAACAAAAAAGATACTTTATTTTACCCAAATCTGATAGCGGATTAGTAATTAGCAACCTCAAAAACATAAATTCAGGTGAAACAAACAGTATGTTTATGGGGAATATTTATTCAGCAACGAATTTATTCTAAAACAAATGCTTTTTTGTCTTAATTTGCTTATAACAAAGAAAATATAAACAATATTGCGAAAATCAATGAACACTTATCATAATTAAGTATTCAAATAGTGGATAAGCAAAAAAGAATCATTAAAATTGATGAATTCTGTGAAATATAATCGAAAAATGAAGAAAATATAGGCGGACATATGTGTCCCGCTGTGACGCAAAGGGTTAAGCAAAGACTAATTTTTGAAAGTTTACTTTTAAAATATAGTTTATTAAAAAAAAAATAAAATGATGTTAGGCAAGACTATGAATCTTATTAAAAGTTATTATTTTGTAAATTAACGAAAACACACATACAAATTAGAAATAAACAAGATTATTTATTTATATAAAAGAATTAAATGTGAACTGCAAATGTCTGCAAATGAATTACGCCCGCTGAAATTATAGGTCCCAATTTACGCCACTTATTATGTGCCAAATAACGCCACTCTTATATTCTATAAAAAGCATACAACTTTATAATATTATACCTTTTTATCATCTTTTATTATATCTTAAGCGTACAAAACTAAAACATTTTATATCATCTTTTATTATATCTTAATCGTACAAAACTGAAACATTTTATATCACTACTACTCAAAAATATATCATTTTATCATACTTACATTTTATCATATTTACAAGGTACAATGTCACTTCATAGGTTAATAATCATTTGGGAGCAAATTCAGTCGAAAATTGTCAAAAGTGACAGATTTTTTATATAGGCTTTTGAAATTGATTTTCACGGAAAATTACATTATATTTTCGTATTACTTGCTTTTGCGATCATTTGATACACTATCACGACTACTTTCTGGCAATTTTTAAACACTTTTACTCACAAGTAACACTATCCAACTGTCATTCACCACTTGGAATGAAACTTTGCTCTCTTATAAAACATTGAAAAATATTGAAAATCCGTTGTTTTATTCTTTTTCAAAACGTTTTTTAACCCCTTGACTGTCGGAGGCAAATTGTACCTTCTGGGACAAAAATGCGTTGACACAAAGTAACTCTGATGGTCATAAAATTCGGTATTCTAAAATGTTTTGGGTCACTAAATCCGAATATGATATCAAAATTTTTAAATTCAAAATAGCGGATCCAATATGACGGACATCGATTTCAAAAAATCAACATATTTTCATAAAACTCGGTATCCTAAGGTTTTTTAAGTCACTGAATCCGAATATGATATTAAAATTTCAAAATTAGGATACCGAGTTTTATAAAAATGTGTTGATTTTTCGAAATTGGTGTCAGCCATGTCGGATCCGCCATTTCCAATTTTGAAATTTTGATATATTCGGATTCAGTAATCCAAAAAGCCTTAGGATATCGAGTTTTATAAAAATATATTGATTTTTCAAAATTATTAGATGTACAAATGAATAATCCAAATTATTTTAAGCAGTTATGAAGTCAATTTTAAATTGAATAGATTTACCTGCTCTTTTGTGATTATGCAATGTTGATATATAGCTATTAAAAAGAACATATAGTTTGGTAAAAGGCCCAACATAACCTTCAAAAGTATTCAGTTTAGTACAGTCGAAAATGGCAACAGATAAGGTGCATATCCGACACTGCATTTTTTACGAATTCCAACAAGGAAAAAATGCTGCAAGAACGTGCGAATCGATTTGTTCCTTTCTCGGCGAAGGTGTTGTATCGTACGATGTGTGCGCATTTTGGTTTAAGCGGTTTAAAAGCGGTAATTTCAGTCTAATCGACAAACAACGCCCTGAAGGCCCTCCGAAGTGCGATAATGATGATTTGGAACAACTGTTCGCTGAGAATTCGGCACAAACACAAAAAGAGCTTGCAGAACAGTTGGGAGTAACGCAGCAAACGATTTCCAAACGCCTACATGAGATGGGAAAGATCCAGAAAGAAGGAAAATGGGTTCCGCATGAACTCACTGAAACCAACAAAAATCAACGAGTGGCAGCGTGTCTTTCTCTTCTCAATAAGCAGCGTCGAAAGTCTTTCTTGTGGAAAATCGTTACGAGCGATGAGAAATGGATACTCTATGACAATCCGAAACGCAGAAAGTCATGGGTAAATCCCGGTGAATCATCAAAATCGGTCGCAAAACCCAATCGCTTCGGAAAGAAGGTTCTTCTCTGCATTTGGTGGGATATCAAGAGCGTGCTTTATTATGAGTTGTTGGAACCGGGTGAAACCTGGCAGTTACTGCGGACTGCTACCAACATCAATTAATCTGCTTGAGTCAAGAATTGGAGAATTGGAAAACGCCCGTATACTGGCAAAGGAGAACATCCAGTGAAATTGTTGCATGACAACGCCAGGCCACACATTGCTTCCAATATAAAAGACACCATAATGAGTCTTGACTGAGACGTCTTGCAGCACGGCCGGCGTATTCACCAGACATTGCTCCATCCGATTATCACTTGTTCCGGTCGATGCAACACGCCTTATCCGATATGCACTTCCAATCAGTGGATGAGATCCGAAAATGGCTTGGCGACTTTATCGTGTCCAACGACGTAACATTTTTCCGAGATGGAATTCATCAGCTGCCTGAAAGATGGCTTAAAGTTATAGAAAGCAACGGCGAATACTTTGATTGAACAATTTAATTTACTTTCTTTTAAAATAAATCTTGAATGTAGCTGAAAAAATTGGATTATTTACTTGTACACCTAATAATGTCCGCCATATATTAGATCCGCCATTTTTAATTAAAACATTTTGATATCATATTTAGATTTAGCGACTTAAAAAACCTTAGAATACCGAATTTTATTACTATGAAGCTTATTTTGTGTCAACGCATATTTGTCCCACAAGGTACGATTTACCTCCGACAGTCAAGGGGTTAAAAAGCGTTTTGAGGAAAAATGAAAAAACGGATTTTCAATGTTTTTCAATGCTTCATAAGAGAGCAAAGTTTCATTCCGATTGGTGAATGACAGTTGGGTAGTGTTACTTGTTAGCTGTGTTTTATTAGGTACATAGAATAAGCTAAGGTGGCATAATTCGGTACGTTTACCTTACTCGATGCATGTCTCACATGAATTTGTAAGACTGAACGTCAAATAAACGCAGCGAAACAATGGCTGCGGACAGAATTCCGCCGCGATAAAGTAGCGAATGAAAAATCGCGAAGACGTAGCACTACGTCCGCGGCTCTTAACTTGAGCCGCGAAGGGACGCGGTACTACATCAGCGGTCGCGAACGTGTTAATTTCAGAATTTCATCGCGTGCGCTCAGATCCGAAACTTCCCGTGAGGTAAGCACTTTCGCGGAGCGAGCGATGATACGTCTCTCGCGTTGAGTCTCACAGCAACGCACGTATTTATTAACGTAAGTCATCAAGAACCGCTTGATGAGAGGAGCAGGTGTTACGTTAGCCTTAGTCGAGTGTACAGTTATAGTGAAGGAAGGAGGAAAAAAACATGAATAATCGCGAGCCAATGAAACGAACGCACGTAAACACGATTCGTAGGTATTTTTCTGCGATTTTATTACACCTCTCGGGCATTTCGACGATGGCGTCGATCCTCGACGTGCTCGACCGCTCGATTTGTGTAACGTGCGCCTCATGCAAATCGAGAACATGAGCGGCACTTTGTATAATTCGACGATAAATAAAGTTAAGGCTTAATAAAGATACGACTTTCAGAGTGCACGTTGCGTCCCCTCCCCTCTTCCCCCCTCCCCACCTTATATAGACCGGTATTCCTCCCTGCGCGCTAATAAAATATTTAATGCGACGCGACGTGAAAGCGTCGTCCCGAAAGCGGCGTATACAATCGATTACATAACGGATTGCATTCCGCAACGTGTCGCAGGCGTGAATCGCATTAGCGAGTCAGGGCCGATCTTTGAAAGTCAGATTTGTGCGTCGGCCGGATTGTTTCATTGTCGATAGTACGATCGACACGGTGTGCCTCATCGTCGCCGAGCGACTCTGTTTCCAAAAGTGATAAATTCGCGCTCAACGCACGTTTGTTCGCGCTTCGCGATCGCTTAATGCACACACACCGGATCGCGTGATCAATATAACACGACGAATTACCGTCGACACGAAGTATCGTAACCGATAATCGCGGGAGAGTAGCTCGACTAGAAATTATGATCAGGTGCGCCCGATATTGCACGAAGACCTAATAGGATGAGTGAAGAGTAATAATATCAGGTTAGACCTTACAAACATCCTGGTGACGTCCTGGTGAGTAAGAAAGACTTTTTAAGGTTATAATGGTTGGGTCTATATTAACCACTTTGTTGGCTCTGAGAAATAGAAGTCAACTGACCCGAAATGGCAACATATAAATCATGCTTGAATTTTATAAACGTCCGTACTAAAATGTTTTTCGGGTGGCTGAGTACGAATTTGAGGTCAAAGTATGAAAATTCAAAATGGCGAATCCAAAATGGCGCCTAAAAAATGTATCTTATTTTTCATGAAATTTGATATGTAAGAATTTTCCAAGTTACTGAATATGAATTTCAAGATTCAAAATGGCGGATCCAATATGGTAGTCAAAAAAAGGAAATTGTTGTGATTATTGTGAAACTCGATATCTAAAGGTTTCTCAGGTTGCTAAAAACGAATTTGAGTTTA